TGAGCGTTTTTGCGTTTTTTACCACTATCTCACTTCCTATGGATGAATCTTCATTAAATTTGGTTTGGAAGTTCATTGGGTCCATGGGGAGATACATTTTAATTTTTAGTTCTGCATTTTGCGTTTTGCAGTTTTTATGGGCGTTTTTGTATTTTCTACCACTACTTCGCCCCCCTGTTGATGGATCTTCATCAAGGTTTCTATGAGTATAATATTTTTAAGTTAAAACTAGCATAATATTATGTCTTTATTTTCAGATATTATTTATTGTAACCATGTCATGTTTGTGTAGCTCATTTTATTGGGAAAGATTACTTTAGACGTGACACTGGTTAACTAATAGATGGTCCCTGTAAACTGCAATTAGATAACAATAAGTTTGTTGTTGTTGCTCAGAACATAAGAAAAAGTTCGTAATGGAACCGTAAAAAACGCGCAAGACATCTAGAATGAGATTTTTTTCTAAACATGAGCATAACATCGTGGGGAAAATAATTGGCTGCTTTGAAGAAAATTTAATGGATATTTTTGAAAGTTTTAATTCAAGCGAAAAATATAATGGATATCAATTATCTTTATTAAAAATCCAACGTAAATGTATTCTGAGTAAAATATGAAGTAACGATGATTGTTCGAGGTATAAAAGTCACGTGACGTTTACAGTCATGCATGTACCAATAGGTGATAAGAAGAGAATGTATTGCATCTTTAACCGTAACAACTGGTTAAAATTGGACATTTACGATTGTGTATATATCTCTGTGTAAATGTTCACTTTTTTCTGTTAAGAAAGGAAGCAATTTTATTATTTACCGAAGTAATAAGGAAGGGAGTGTTCAATAAGTAGCTTAATGGAAGCAAGATCATTCCCCCAAACTCATTGTTAATAATTCTGCACCCTTATTATATACCATATAAACCATAAAAAAAATATATTTGTCTATCTCTTTGTCCGTTGTCCAACTATTCCTAGGTCGCAGGTCCAATCTCAACCAAACTTTGTGGGATGATACCTTGGAACATAGAGCCCGTTAATGGCGGTTCATAACCTCCTCCACCCCATTATTTCTATTATTGAGCATTTATTATCTTTGACGTAAGTTAACGTTAATTACATTCATAGAGGACGCCACATTCTTGCACCAAACCAAAAGAAAAGTATTAAATTTTCTATTCACAGTATGAAATAGTCGACTCTTCGTTACTTAATATTTTGTTTCTTGACTTCTACAGCAATTTTAAATCACTCAGTCCTAATACACTTACAACCCTGTGGATCTTTTGTTGTTGTTGTTGTTATTAGTCATGATTAATCACGCCTTTTTTCTTCAATAAAGGTTTGTGAAAATACATTCTGGAAGGACATCAAATGAAAAAATCATGTAATATTTTCCACCACTTCACAGTTATTAGCTGCATCAACCTACTCCCACACAACAAAACTCACATGTCTTCGACTTTTAAATGATATTCCCTGTAAATTGATTTAAACTCTATATAATTAAACATCTTTAATTTTCAGCATAGGACTGGCGTAATGACAATTCCATCTGTTGGAAATATTTGCTCAACAAATTCCAGTATAATGAACTTCCCATATAAATACACTATATTACCAAAAATATTATAACATCAATCTCTAACCTAGTAATGGTTCACCCCTACCAAACGTGCATGAGAATCCCATGACGCACTATTATTGTGTTGTAAACTGCTTGTAAAGAGAATTTTCGCTATCTGCGGCTAGCCGTGCTTGATTTTGAAGTGATAGACTAGAGAAAGGGCTGCTAGTCAACAGCACCCACCGCCAATTCTTAGGCTACTCTCATTTGACCGAATTGTGGGATTTGATCGACACTGTTATAGCACACCCACGACACTAAAATGCGAAGCGCATTTTTGCGGTAACGGGACTAGAACCATAAATCCCAGATTCAAAGTCGAGACACGTTAACCACTTAGCCATGTCCGACCAGTGTTGTGAAATGAAACTTCACGACTTTTTGCAGACCACACCATCCATAGATATCCATGTTGCAGGATACAACAGAGTGTCTGCTGCCATTGTAATTGCTTATCACAGCAGTGAATGCATAATCTAGTTTCTCAAGAATGTGGAGACTTATCGTAGTTTAGACTTGATTTAGTAAAATTTAGATTATTAGTACTAATTTAAAAACCGTGAATTATACGATATATTTTGATTTCTATGGACACTGTCTGTATTGATAAAATTCTGAGCATGTATCATATCTTTATCAACATGATAATACCCCATGACATGATATGAGATCTCTGAGTGAATCTAAGTTAATCCGACACATTTGGTATCGGCTGATTGAAGGACAGAAGAGACAGACAGAAACAGAAATCTTCCTGCACTTGCAGCTACTTTGCAAATGGTTGGCTGGCAACTGTTAATTGCGGAGTGCAAACTGTCAAAAGATACCCATTGGTAAAACATTATATCTCCTTTTCAAGTCCTAATGCCCAAATACTTTTGGTAATATAGTGCATAACTTGGCATCTTTTTCTTTTTACTACACTATTTTTTTTCATAATTTGACAATTTTATTGGATTCCATATATAAAAGCTAATTTCTAATTTATTCTGAAACTTCAAAAGCAAAATTTGTAAGTACTGAAAACAAAATTTATTAATTTTGAAGTGATTTAGAAAAAACGGGTGCTCTTTCCCTACCTGATGAAACAACTGAGCTGAGTGGTTCAGAAACCATAGCGGTGATGACTAAAAAAAAACTTATATTTCAGTTCCAACTAAAGTTGTAAAGTAACTTTAAGAAAAGTTTCTATCATCTTCCAAGGTGACAAAAGGGACTGCCTTCCAGTAGAACCGCGGTATGTCTGTGGACTTATACTGCTAAAAACCGAGTTTCGATACCCGTGGTGGGCAGAGCACATATAGCCCTTTGTGTAGCTTTGTGGTTAATAACAAACAACAACAAAAGGAACCATATTTTTTATCAAATAAGATAACTCCGATATTCTGTTGAGAAGATAATATCAGATCGTTCCAAGACAAAGAGCTTTGGAAACTTCTTTGCAGATAAGTGAGATAAAAACACGTTCCACCAGGAATGGCCCAAACCACGTTATACACTTTACTTCTATGGTCTTTTAGAAGTACGTAAACTTGACATTACCCTACAATACACCATTAGTGCTACAGTTTTACCTTGCTGGACTCTCACTCGTTTCTTGATATCCATGTTAAAGTATTTCGAACATTAAGGGCTTACAATGAACAGTTCTTATATATGGCAGTACCTCACGAAGACTACTTGATGAGATTCAAGTGAATATTGTCACTAATATTTCCATTTCCTACATGTTGGTCAGAAGAAAACCTGAAGAAGATTTCAGGAACCATCCTCCTCTAATCTTCTCTACAAACCTAGCAATGTCTCGGCTGGAAAACAACCTTTCTGAGCAAACAGACCCATCTTTTCTCGGTTTTAAATTATATTTTCAAGGAAAGTGTAAAAAATGATGCCATTTTCATCTTCATTCACAAATTTCTACTCTGAAGCTGGTGACCCATTTGTTACACGAACACATTACTCAAACCTATTCGATAACTTTTTCATATGGACACATGATTGAAACATACTTAACAATTTAGTTTCTCACCTGAACTCATAACATCTAGAAATGAAATTCAGTTTGGAAACTGCTGAAGCTGGTATTGAAAAAAAAGACTCCCATTCCCGAACGTTACAAGGAAAACAAAACCTGTTCACAAAAATTATTTTGCAAGCCAACTAACATAAACCGTCTCGTTTACCTGATTCACTATGAGTTGAAAAGCGATATCATTGGCACTTTCAAAAACAAGCTCAATACATTCACTTACCGATTCTAAATGTTTCCAAGACGAACTGGTCCACTTCTCTTCTACGTTAAAAAATCAAACTTATTCCACGAAGAATGCAACAGTTTATTACTCTTCCAAATATTTCCAATATCGACTAAATCTCAGAGGCATTTTTTTCCAAATTTATCTTCTGCGCTTTTTCAAGTCTTCAAATCCATTTCCACCCTTAGAAAAAAGGTTCGTTAATACGAGGCCATCCAAAAATAGCACAAATAAAAAAATGTGCGTACAAAATCAACTGCACTTGTAAATCTTACATTGATGAAACAGGTAAACAATTACAGACTAGAGTCAACTAAAATAGAAACCGAACCAAACGTACTATCAGATACTATTGAAACTTTTATTTTTGCCTCTCTTTACGAAATTTCAGATTAGAAGAATAAATAAATAAAGGGATTTAAATCAGTATGTTCTGAATAACCCCATCTTCCGCCAACATTATCAACAAACAATACTTTCAACAACGCAGATCTGCTTTTTTTCTCCAGCCTGGTTCAACAATAATTCATGTAATCTTTGATTGGTTTTGCAATTCTACGCACTCCACATTCTTCAGCTCAGTTATTTCCGTCTTCCATTGTTTACCCTTCTATGACCTTTCTACTCTGAACTGATGAAGATATGTACAAGCAGTTCGAAACATCGTCTCTAGACTATACCACGAGTGGATGAAAGCATATCCTACTTAGTAGATATATACTGAGAAATTATTGCCTCTAAGTTACTATTTTAATGTCCACTTGACTTTTCTGAAATCATAGAAATATATTATTTGTGTTAGTTACTTTTTTTTTACTTGCTATCTAATTTACAACCATGTTAAGCCTTATACCTCAAAAAAATATTAAAATAGAAGGATCACTATGGAATTAGCCAACGTGATAATTACATATGTTTTAAGCACATAGATATTACTACATAACCAGCCAGTATGATAATCACCATATGACTTAACACGTAAACATCATTACTAAATCAATCATGTACTAAATAAACACATAATTCAAAACGTAAAGATTACTAGTTAGCAGCCAATGCCACACTTTGTTACAAGACGTAACATATAAACATCCTTACTTAATCTATGTTTTAATCACACATTACTTAAACTAGTCATTATTACAGTCAAACACAAAACGAATATTAATTAATAAGCTATTGTAACAACAGACACAAAACGACTACTAGTTGATAAGCTAATGTAACAATCAGCCACAAAATTTAATACATTTACTTCATAAGCTAATATACTAACCATACACACAGCTCAATACATATCGACTATTATTTTTGTATGGTTGATATACTACTTCATCACAGTCAATACATAAGGACTATTATTTTATGAAGTAGTATGTCAACCATATCCTTTAGTGTCGCCCCTGCGTTTTATTAATTTAAGAAGGCTAATTTAGACTAACTATTGCGAGTGAGTTCTGAGATAGTTCGTGTATACTTGTGCACACGTTGCTGTACAACAGTTGATAATTTAAGAAGTATGTTTATGCATCAGTAACTGAACGACGAGAGGTTCCAGGTTTTAACAGAGAAGATATTTTGTGTTTGTTAAGTATCTTCAAATACATAGTTGGTTTGTTGATTAATGAAGTAATAGTCCTTATGTATTAAACTTTGTGGCTGATTGGTACATTACCTTATGAAGTAATAGTCCTTATGTATTAAACTGTGTATGGTTGGTATATTACTTCATAAAAATAACAGTCCTTATGTATTGAGCTTTGTGTCATGAAACTATTCTAGCTATTTTTATAGCGGAAACCTATATCTCTTCATCTAAACTTGAGCATCCGAAGTTATCTCAGTTGCCTTGACAACAGACTACGAAAAGAGTGTTTGAGATATGATAACGTATCTGTATCACTCGTTCTATTTTTGCTCTTTTACGGTCACCTTTAACGGTAATTGTTCTCTTTAACGTCATAAGATTGCTACATTTGCAAGATATAAAGATTACACAACCACATTTTTTATCAGGTCCAACGCCAGCCTTTTGTGTGTGGGGTGGGGGGAGAATGATATTGGCTAGATAAAATATTGGGGGAGGGACTATGCTGTTGCCTCCCAGTGGTGCAGCGGTGGGCAGAACACAAATAGCCCATTGTGTAGCTTTGTGCTTATTTACAAACAGGCTATACCATGCCGTCAAGATGTATTAATCACCAGTGTGTTGGGCATACTACTTGGGGTGGCTATAGCCCAACAAGCTTTATAGAAATGTTATCGTGATGTTTCAAGTGTTATTTTCGTAGTCCATTTTCAAGGAAGTCAAGATAAAACCAAATAAAATTGGAACACCTAAATAATTTCTCTATTGCTACTTCTGTTGTCAGTATATTTTAAGATACCCTTTCTGTTAAATATGTCTTCATAATGATACATACGATCTACTTTTTTACGAACGATTTTAGATAGGTATCTCTGCATTCTTTTTTCAGTTTAATTATTTTCATTGTTATCTTTTGTGGCTCACACAGCTTTGTTAATTGGAAAATGTACGCCACACTTTACTTTATTTCTGATTTGTATTAAGGTATTTCCAACAAATGCCATACAAAATGCATCGAAATAACCGGAAAGGTAATAAAAAAAGAGGAGGCAATTTTTTTAAGGATCACAACTTAACAAGATTCATCGCTTTATTACTTGGGATTTAGTTTTATTTTGCTTAGGGACACCTATGATCTCAGCCATAGCTAGTTTTTATTACAAAACCAATGTTGTGATATTTATCTAACTCTGATAAATATCAGTTAAATTTTGAATTACAAACTTTTTTTTTGTAACGTTCACTACCGGTGGGGTCCACACACACTTCAGTATATTGAGTAATTTTATGCTTTTGCTTGTTATATCATTCAGTACAAAAAATGACCAAATACATAGGGGACGCCAGCAGTAATTAATTGAATTAATTACAATGTTGATGGTATTTTTTTGTTTAATTTCTTGTGTGACTCGTGTGTTATTTTAATTCTATAACCAGCTAAACCATGGACCCACAAGCAATGCGATAAGTATATTATACAGAAAAAGATCTATCTGAAAAGTATTAGTAATTTCATACTTGACTCTGGATTCTATATGAATGTTTGAAGTAAGCTCGAGCTGTTTCTCGCTTTTTCGATATTAGCTTTGTAATAGCTCATAAAACAAAACAAACAGTGAATGAGAAAGAAATCATCACCGAACTTCTGAGGTCTATAGTATACCAGCTCTAATACCAGTATACGGTCATGATCTTCTGGTTTCTTCATTCGTATTTGAAAATAACGTTCAGGACACAGATCGAATTATCTAAATACATTTTATTTTAAGCTTACAAGTAAGTGAAAAATTAACATACAGACGTTATTTGGTAGAAATATAACATCATATGCAAGCTAATCCCCTAGATTTAATTGCAATGTTTGTTTTAACTTTTCAGTATTTTCATGGCTAAAGAAACTGCTGGAGTAATATGTGTATATATTAAAATTTAACCGTTTCTTTAAGACGAGAATAACTTCTGTAGACAGAACGATCTGAATATTTATTACTTTTAGCAGGTAACAAAAGCACCTTGTTTTTATTGTTGGAAGAAAGTTCGTGTTCTTGTAATTTAACCACTTTTGTAAATAGTTTAGTGGATTACTCTCAGATTTAAAAAATAAATTCTCCATTTGACACAATGCAACAATATAGTTATATCCTCATTTATTTTCATCAACTGGACTAAATGAACATGTTTCACCACAACCTTCTCTCGAACAAATACAAAATATTAACAGCTTGCATCTATACAATTCCTAACATGAAACACTTGAATTAAACAAATATTGCATGCCAACAAACTGGAACTATCTCATTATTTAATCATCTGGATTTGTTTGCATACTGTTAAGGACAAAGCTACTCAATGGGCTATATGAGCTCTGACCACTTCGGACATCGAAACCGGATTTATAACGTCATCAGACTTGCCGAAACACCGAGGGGCTAATCATCTGGAATACAACTGTGTGAATGACTGGTATTTTCAAGCTAAACTGCACCTTATGAAACACATGGGCTAAATGATCTGGCTCAGATATAATTGATATTAACCCATGACACCCCTACACCCGTGTAAGACAGCGTAATACAGGCTTTAGACACCCTCTCACCCCATAGCGCTATGTAATTTTTGAATGGTCCCCGAATGATTGTACAATTTACGATCTATTATAGATGTTTATTATTGTCAACAATCAGTTTTATATTTTAAAAAAAACTACTTGTCACAAAATCAGTATTCGTAACAAAAACTGCCTAATCACAGGAATGGTGTAACAAGAATGCACCTGTCACAAGTTTTCCTAATTAGAACGTGGTGTTAAGGAAATGTCCAATAATTAAATGTTCGTAGCAAAATGTCCGGATCCCGACAGCGGGGTCTGCTAATAGGTTTCTCTCCCTCTGATCAGCATTCATAAATTAGCGATGGGATTACGACCGAAATGATCGTTAACAATTCGAAACAATTCATTTTATTCTTTGTAAATAGAAATGTAAGAAAAGTATATTTAATTATATATACAGATTGCCTGGTTGATTTTAATTAGATATACAGATTGTCTGGTTGATTTTAATTAGATATACAGATTGCCTGGTTGATTGTTAGTATCGCTCTAAGTACATAGTTCTGATTGGAAGTTAATATCAATTGTGTCTGACCCAATTTTGTTACTAGATTTAGTAAGAAGTAAAATGTTTCCTTTCCAATAGACACTATTAGTATCACATTTTTGGTGGTCAAGTACATACCTTAGCATACATGTAAAACCTGATTAAATAAATTATTATGCAAAAATTATACATATATATTATGTTTGCAAATGTCCAAGTTATTAAAGATGTTTTGAATTGAAATCCAAGTATGTTAGACTACAATAAATGTTTTGTAGACCTGAATCGTTTTCACTGTAATTTATGTTTTATGCAACACTGTTAAAAAAAAAAACTTGTAACGATGTGACGGTAACTTGGATGCCTTGTTTGTTTGAAGTTAAGTATCGAAACCCGGTTTCTAGCGTTGTAAGTCCGCAGACATACCGCTGTGCCACTGGAGGCTGCCGTAACGAAATGTTTTTCGTAACAAAAAGTCCATGTTACAAGCTATCCGTAACAAAATGTCCCAGACTTCCGCTGTCTATACACCTATTTTAAGAAAATCGAATTGCGAGATTGACATTCACGATTATAATGATTTCACAGCTGAAAGTGCGTAGCATGTTCAGTGGCATGTTGTGTATTAAACTATGGATCTTCTGACCTGCAGCCTGGCACGTTTACTACTAAGTCAAACCTGGTCAGCAACTGATTAAAAAAAATGTTAGGCGTGTACTTCCATTTTTTGATAATTACATACATAAAATAATTATGCTATGATTAAAATGGTATCACAGCAGAATAATCTTCTTATAGAGATGAATACATTTGTTGAAGTTGCCTTAGATTTTAATGTCCAAAGTCTGTTGTACAGTTGTACATTGTATGCTAAGCTACTTTTGAGTTCAGTATTGTTTGTAATTAAGCACAAAGCTACACAATGGGCTATCTGTGCTCTGCCCACCACGGGTATCGAAACCCGGATTCTAGCGTTGTAAGTCCGCAGACATACCGCTGTGCCACTGAGGGGCAATGAGTTTAGAAACGAGACTATAAATATCTGGACCAGGACTGGCGAACCTTTTTGAGAGAGAGTGTACCCAAATTGTCGATAATTTTCGAAAAAATTCTTTCGCGTGCCCATGGAAATTTTGAGCAGCAAAATTACTGTTATTATCACTAATTTTATGTGTTATAAACATTTTATATATGATTATTATATTATATATTTAATTAATTATGGATATATACAATCTCTACGCCTTCACACACATATATATATATTGGTCGGATACAAAAAAACTTGGAACAACAGTGAATTCCGCATGCCAAGTGCTTCATATAATACTCTCCATAGTTTAATTTACATCGAGTACAAGAAAAAAAAAAAGTGAAACGTGACGCATCACATCATATTATAGTCATTCAGTGTCCAAAGCTCGCTCTCTGTGTGTCGCTGGAGCCTTAATTTCTTGTTCAGTTTTGTATTTAGCAGTTTTTGTAAAAGACATCGGCTGCCATATGGTAATTTTTGTAATGTTCCTTGCATATTTCAGTTGGAGATAGTTAGATACTGATTACTCTTGAAAGAATTGAACAATTGTAGCACAAACCTGCCCAATCGTCTTTCTCCTCGGTCAGACACAAGTAGTTGGCAGTTAAAGTTTTTTCCTAGTGTAAGACATGTTTCCTTTGGATTGCTACTGTCGACAAGATAAATAAACAATTGGGAATTGAAAACCTGCAAATAGGGATCGCAAAAAGAAAAGTAAGAAAACAAGGCTGGAGATGCTGTAGACATTATTTACCCAAACTACAAACCCATATTTTGGCTCCAATTACATTTGATTAAGTCAAAATAAGGATTTGTAGTTTGAGTAAATAATGTCCACAGTATCTTCAGCCTTGTTTGCTTACTTTTTTATTATCCCTATTCGCAGGATTTTAAATTCCCAATTTCTTATTTATCTTGTTTGCTGGCTTTTTTTTATGTTCAAACAACAAAGATAAAATAATAACGAAAACAAATATAGTTTTTCATGGAAATACAAAATAGTTAACTTTAAAAGGAAAAGTGTGGGCAAGAACCTCAGTACTTGTCTTACTTAAATCCCACAGTCAGTTGTGGGCAAGGTAGTTATCCCTAAAATTATAAGTATCCAGTATGATTGAAAAGATGTAAAATCACCTGTAAAGATAGCTGTCGACAAAAAACACCTTAGTTTTGTATTTTAAAAGTAATCAACCTCCACCTATAGTCTATTATTACAAAATAATAAGAACTATAGTTTTATGTTCTCAGAGTTTACATCATCCTCTTTACTAACATGGATGTATTTATGTCCATATTAATTAACTAATACATAAAACATGCTAGTTACAAAACTCCTATTTATTATTTTGACAATAGGACTATTAAACAATATATATATACACAGCCATAAAAACTAAAACGTTATATGAGAAGATGAAAGGGTGATTTAATGTGTTTCAACATCAGAGGTGTGGTTGTTCAGGGGTAAAATAATGTTATTTAATTTGTGTAACTTCAAGTTCTAACTACGAAATTTTCAAACCCATATTTTTGCGAATTGGAATAACCGCCTTATTTGCCTTATTTGTTTGTTCGTTATTAAAGACAAAGCTATACAATTGGCTATCTGAGATATATCCATGGTGAGCATAGAATCCAGGTTTTTAGCGTTATAAGCCTTCATATTTACTCCCGGGCTACCGGGGAAAAGGCTGGGGTGGGGTGGGGATACCCGCCCCAAACGTAATATCAGCAGTTTTGTCAAGACCATAACTGGGGCAGTCGGAAATCATAAGTAACTATTGCTATCCCAAAAATAAAATTTTCAGTTTACTAAATTATTATTGATATTGTAACTTGATTTCAAAAGTTTGTATTCAAATATGATAATCTCAGATTAGATGTAACTAAAAAGTACAGTTAAAAATTAAACAGAAACAAGCTGATAACTAGGAAACGTGATGTCTACAACATATAGACACGATCTACCAATACATACTCTTTCTATGAGATCACTCAGGTATCCGAAGTTGTAACACCCTTATTGCACACTTGCAATGATAAAGAGAGAGAGTCACTTGAGATATCCATCAATACAAGTGTTCGATTCTATGATAGGCTCAAATAAAGCTGAACAGGCGGATGTAATATTACTTGTGGAATGTAGAAATTTCTTTCTATCTTGTTTCAGTGTTCAAATAATGAAACATGGTGATGTAATACTTATACTTTACTCTTAATTTTAAGAATTGAAATTTCATCACCATAAATCCATATCAGTTTTTTTTTGTGTGGGATACATACATATATATATAATGTTTATAAGTGTGCATTTTGAAAACAGTCCACAAATAAGCACAAAATACTTGAAACCAGTTCAATTTACCTGTTAATTAAATAGAAGGATGTTTCGAGTGCTCTTTATTGCAGCGCTGTTGTACTTTGTTGAGCCTCATGGTTACTTACAGGATCCACCATCACGTTCAAGCCTTTGGAGGTTCGGCTTTCAAAGCCCCGTCAACTACAATGATAACCAGTTGTTTTGTGGAGGATTCTGGGTAAGGTTTTCGTTACATATTTTTGTCCACTTATATAATGAATAAATGGTGCCCGAAGGTCCAAATTACTAAAAAAGATAGATTTTATTAATAAAATTCCAGAATCTTCTCACAACAAGCTTAGATCTTTTGAATATAGATCACAGCCATAATAATAATAATAAAAGGTTAGAATAGTAATTAACACTGAAACTATTCTTAGTTTTATTGATAGATAGCTGAACATTATCAATTTCCATTATTGGTTAATATATTAAATCATATGTAGTTGTAAAATTACAGACTTTACAAAGATATTATTATAATATACTAGCGTATAGCCAGTCAAGAATGACGGGACAAGTACTACCACCCCCACCCTAGTATACCCTAACCTCACATTTCAGAGCTAACTGAAATAAATAAATTTTGTGAAATCTAGCTTGACCAACAAAGAGGCAGAAAAGTGCAGTCGAGGCAGTCAAACGTCGGTAAATTTCCTTTGTGAGCCAATCAAAATTAAAATGATTCATGAAGTGAATTCGTAGCGTATTCATAGAATAATTATTTGTAAAAATCATTTAGATTAACAACTTCTAATATATAGAAAAGCCAATGCGTTTTGGTAGCACTACATTTACATCTTGGCCGGTATTTCGATTTTAAACCATTGACCCTGAGCTCAAAAAGAACCCAGAGCAAAATTTAATCGGGGTGTTCAGAAACTTATGTTTCTCTTCGTCCCGCTCAAGATCTAGAGATAACTTGATTAACTAATGGTACTAACTATACTTAATAAAGTAAATTCTACTCAATGACGATATATTAACTCAAAACTCAACAAGGAAGAGGAAAGGTGACAAGCAAAAGGCGAATCAAAACCGCGTGACCACGAGGTTAAGCCTTGGTTTTTGGTAAAAGTCAGTTAGATTAACAATTTCCAATATATAGAAAAGCCAGTGCGTTTTGGTAACACTACGTTCCAACAATGGCTTTTATATCATGTCGCTTAACAACAAAGTGTAACCTAATGTTGTTGTTAGCACATGCACTGAAAGTATAAAATGAAATGCACAGACAACAAAACTGGAAAAAATATTTATTGATTTCTCAATTTCGAGTCTCCGTTGATTAAAGAGGTTTGTTCTTTATTAAAAACGTTGGTGATATAACAGAAAACAGTTTAATTTAGAAACAATTTAAGTGTAAAATTGAATCGACATTTTTACTTTCATGATACATTTTATGCACTTGGCTCCAGACTAGGTAATCCCACATATACGTCTTTAGTTTAGGCTTATTATACCAACACTCGCTACACTTATAAGGTTTCACGAACCCCCCCCCCCCCTCACGGCCCTCTTGCACTCCCGTCACTAAAATCGTAATGGACAGTATCTATCTGGATAAATGCATTTTGTCTTTTAGGACTCCTCCTATTTCGAGAAATCAAAAAGAAAACAAGCGTGACGTGACACAAGGCTTATATAGGTTACATAAATGATTCCTTATACTTACATGCATTGTACAAGAAATCTTCTCATAATATGCAATTTATAAGTTTTCAATGAAGAGTATTTTATTTGTAATTATGACAAAACTATTTAGGCTATCTGCCGCCATCTCTAAATTTGGACCCTCTAGTGGCTCGCCGCAGGCCTGAGAACTCATACCACTAAAAAAATAAGTTTCGATGCTCGTGGTGGGCATAGCACAAATAACATTATGTAGCTTTATGCTTTAGAGCAAATAAATTTTAACTAACTAAAAACCAGAGGAAAAGCAGCCAGCCAGTATAAACCTAAACCAACACTAGCAGATTGTCTGCCACTCTTATAACGCACCGACAGCTTAAAGTATCGGGAAATTTTTCATGGTATCAGGCGGTTTCGAACGTGGCTCACCAGCTCCAATATCCAGAACCCATAATTTACAAATAACGATATGTTATTGTCAAAATCTCTAAAAATTAAATTAGTGTGTGAGCATCATTTCTCCAAAAGTAATTTTAAAGGAACGGGCTAGATGTCATTACGTGAAAATCCTGTGAGATTTATCATTCAACTTACTCAACTTACTTACATTAAATTACTTTCTAGTTTTGTTTTTCGTTTTGTCCAGAAATCCGTCGTTATTGTTGTTTCGCTTACACTTTATTTCTGTTTTACGTATTAGAAAGACCAAACAACAAAGAGTGTTCGTTTTCAGTTACATTTGTGTCGCATTCATAAAATAATTATAAACTTTATGTCTGAATTCGTGGTTTTGTTAAATTATATGTTGTTCATCAGTTATATTTCATTGCTTAGCTGATTGCTAAAGATCATAAAGGGACGAATCATGTGAATAAGATACAACTTCTTCATTTCCGTGCATCAGTTGAAACTATGTTTTTAAAGGGAAGAATCATGGTAATAAGATACAACTTCTTCATTTCCATGCCATTGGTTGAAACTATGTTTTTAAAGGGAAGAATCATGGTAATAAGATACAACTTCTTCATTTCCGTGCATTAGTTGAAAATATGTTTTTAAAGGGAAGAATCATGGTAATAAGATAAAACTTCTTCATTTCCATGTCTTAGTTGAAACTATGTTTTTAAAGGGAAGAATCATGGTAATAAGATACAACTTCTTCATTTCAGTGCCTTAGTTGAAACTATGTTTTAGAGGGAAGAATCATGTGAATAAGATACAACTTCATTTCCGTGCATTGGTTGAAACTACGCTTTTAAAGAGCTCTACTAGAAATTCACTTTATTCGCCTATTCAGGTGCTTGATTTGAACTAAAGCTCTTATCGACATCTTTTATCAGTTATTAAAGAATCTCAGGTTTAGTCTGAGTGACATCATTTGCTTAATAATAAATCTCATTCAAGTAGACAATGTATAAAGAGTTAAGTTAGTTGGTTAGAAGTTAACTTTAAGATCCACAGGCATAGACAAACATTTTTGTATGAACTTTAAACAAATCTCAGCTATTCTATATATTGCTGTTATTTCAATCATTCCAGCATCAGTGGGACTTAAACGGCGGGAAGTGTGGAATATGTGGAGATCCATGGGATGAGTCTGAACCTCGAGCCAATGAAGATGGAGGAAAGTATGGCAACGGAATCATCGCTAGAACATACGGAGTGGGCGAAACTATCACAGTGACAGTGAGGATAACAGCTTATCACAAAGGGCACTTTGAGTTCCGTCTCTGTCCTATAAGGTAGGGCTGACAGGTTATTGTCACTATTTAACACTCTATGTTTGAATACATATTGACATATAGTATTTTATAAATGAGAGGGCAAAAAGTGCATCTTTGTACATTACCATCACCATATCTTGACAGTTGTACCCTCCAAAATAGTATAAGCTGATATCAATACAATCTTCGTGATAGTCGGACTATAAAAATAACACCTACGTTATTCAAAAATTTTATAGTAACTGGCTCTGAAAACATAATTACACAAGATATTTTTGTAACGAAATGTTTTTCTTGGCATGTTTATTTCAAGCTATGACGGTCGAAAGGTGGACCAGGACTGTTTGGATAAGCATGTGCTGCAGCTTGTTGACGATTCTGGTTATAAATACATCCTACCGCCAGGATCTGGTGTTGGACTGTACCATATAGACCTAATGTTGCCCCGAAACCTTACTTGTGAACGTTGTGTCTTACAGTGGCACTACAGAACAGGTACGTAAATACACCCGCATTGTGTCACTTTTACTGTAACACGTTGCCAATTTATTCTTCTTCGCATTATTTCAACAGACCATTTCTCACATTTATGTCAAACTTCCATAATTATTTTAACAGACCATTTCTCACCTTTATATCAAGCTTCCATAATTATTTTAACAGACCATTTCTCACCTTTATATCAAGTTTCCATAATTATTTTAACAGACCATTTCTCATCTTTATGTCAAACTTCCATAATTATTTTAACAGACATTTCTCACCTTTATATCAAGCTTCC